TGCGAAAAGTTGATCTTGCTTAATTTCAAAAGTTATAAATAACCCAAAAAAAATTGTTTCTTAACAATGCACGCCAATATCATCAAATTTCTTAACAAAAATTGTTTTTTTTGTAAATAAAACAACAAATTTATTTCTTAACCTAAAAAATTTATAAAAATTGAAGGTATGGACCGTATGGTACCAAAAGTTTTCTCATTATATCTATAAATTTTCTAAATTAATTAATTTTCAAATCATTTCACCAACTTTAACTCTTCCCCTTAATAACAAGTTATAAATATTTTTATAATTTAGCAATGACTCTTTTTATGTATGATATTTTTTAATTATGCAAACATAATATTTATAATATAAATATACATTCCAATTTATGAGGTTGTAGCAGTGTTTTAAAACTCAGCCCGGCCCGACGGGTCAACCTGGTGAACCGGTCCCCTAATCGGACCGGGTTTATTTAAAGACCGTTTATGTGAAGAACTTGGGGTAAATTCGTTGAATCGATCAAAAATCGGTAAACCCGTAAGAATCGAACGAGTTAACTAAACCGGCCAGGTGTTTTTATTTAGTATAAATCTGTGTTTTTTTGTCATTTGGGCATTTTCCCCTTTTATTTTGCCCTAATTTGTTCCGACAACACAGCCACCTCTCTCACTCTCTCTCTTGTTCCCAGTCAACCCCCTCTCCCTCTCTCATCAGTCTCTCTCTGCCTTCTAGTCTCTCCTTCACCTTCAGTGCGAGGTCGAACGATCTAAGACTTGATTGAAGACTCGTATCAAAGGAGAAGGAACTTTCGATCCCTAACCTTCTTCACTGCGATTTCAATTTTTTACGTCGACCACCACGCACCAGGTATACTACTATCTATTGACTCTACTTTCTCTCTCTCTCAGTATATATTTGTGGGTTGCATTTTTTTTTTTGTGAGTTACAATATTGTTGGGATGTTATTGATTTTAGAAATTTTTAAGCTTGAAAATTTTTTTTTCTAGAAAAGATAATATAAAATTACTTCAAATAACAAATCCTTAAAAAGCAACACAAAAGCGTTCTCATGACACTGAGGACAAAAAGGAAATTCTTCACTTTTTGAAAAATCAGACTACATTCTTGATTCAAGAGGAAGCTCCACTGCGCAATGCTTGATTCTTCTTAGGCTTGAAACATGGGGGCTTTGTTGCATTCTTTGTTCTTGCATTTCAATTTGTATTTTTTTGGGTCTGGCTTATTGTGTATGTTCATGTATATATAAATGTAGGAAGAGTAATTTGCTTTTGTTTAATTTTCTTTTCTTAGTTTGAGTCACTGAGGGCTTGAAATCTTGTTTGTAGCAAGAATTTTCTGATTTTAAGCTATGGTGAAGGAGACCAAAGATTATGACATATTGGGAATTGGTACGGATGCATCTCCAGCGGAGATCAAGAAGGTCAGACCTCCCTCTTACTATGTCTTCAAGATGTTTAATTTTGTATGCCTGTTGATTTATCTATCCCTTTATTTAGACAATGTAACAATGCACGCCGATATCATCTGGGATTGGACTTATATTCTAAAGGCAATTTTATATGTGTGTATGATTTTTTTATGATGTGAAATGAGATGAGGTTGAATTTATTGTTTTATGTATCTGTATTTAGTTTTACATGTTTTTTGATATTTATCATAATTATTGTAATTTTTTAATCTATTAATTATTATTTATTTTTTTATTATATAATAAGTTCGATCAGTAACCTAACGGTTGAACCAGTAACTTATTGACCTGATTTCTCTGCCGAATTGTTGTGCAGGCCGGATTTTAAAACTATGGATTGTGCTTAACTTAATTATATTTTTATTATCTAATTGTAATACATTGCTAGTAAAAAAAAGTGTATACGTCTAGAGAGAGAGAGAGAGAGAGAGAGAGACATAAAGGCACGAGATGTTGGGAAGGGTGATATGACGGGGACACGTCACTGACTTAAACGATACCCAGACTCTATCCTGGAGACACGTGTTACTTCGTTTAAAGATAAAAAAAAGGCATGGGGCACAAAGTGTTGAGTGCGACAAACGAAAGAGTACAGGCTTAGGTGGCACTCAGGAATTTCTTTTTCACTGATGAGTTGGTGGAGGAGGAGGCCTTTACACAGGAAGAAAAAACAAAGGAGAGCCCCCGGCGAGGATCGAACTCGCGACCTTTCGCTTACGAAGCGAACGCACTACCACTATGCTACGGAGGCGCTTGCTGTTCGTTTCTGTAAACATATTTCTCTTAAAATTAATAGTCTTTAAACGAACGCGTAGAAAATCTTCGGTTTCAGATATAGAGGTTGCCTATGTTCAAAAAAAAAAAAGATATAGAGGTTGCCTCTAGATGAATCAAACATTTGAAGGATTGGAAGGAAGTTTATCAAAGTTTTATCCTTTAAGCTTTTGAATCCTTAAATCTAATTTCAACGTGTTCATTTTTCACTAGAAACACTAGGCAAAAGATGAAAAAAAAAAAAAAATTTGTATATTTATACCAAATTCATTTGAATCGCTTGTGTCGCAGTAGAAATAGCATAAAGACCCTACGTCAGGGGTGCCCATAATAGAAGTCTATTATTTTCAGACCTTTCTTCTCTAGATATTTGTATCTAGAGAGAAATAGAGAAATCCGTTTCGTGAGCAAAACCCGATCGTGTATTACATGTGCTCTATAGCCCGCATTCTATCTTTCTTCTCAACAAGCTCATTTCTCTTTTAAATTGGAAGGCGGGCATTGTGATCAGTTCGAAAGGCATCATTTTTAGTTTGTCTCCAATCCGAAAAATAAGTACAATTTGTGGATTCAACTATTAACATGACCACATTACAAACCCAAAACGTCATGACTTTAAAATTGAAATAATTGTTAAATATGCATAATAAATATATTTGATTGATATTTAACGTTTATATTATATTAAATACTTTTTTTAATGAGTATTAATACAAATATTGCACCAATTACAATGACATATGAACAAAACATAATATCATGTGAATGATACGATACCATACAAATTGACACCCCTATTGCGGATGTACCAAACTGTAGGTGACAATTTTAACTTATTACTCATTAATTCGTTCAACTAATTCATAAATAAATGAGTTAAGTACCTATATTAATTAATGTGGATTCTAAATTGATCAAATAATATAATTCATTTTAATTAAGCAGGCTAATATGAATTATAAAAAAGTAACCATTGGATTGAGTATTTATCATTTTATTAAATTTTATAAGTAATAAAATCAAATAAATATACTAATATACCAAAAAATACACATATATCTATATAATAAAGTATAATACAATTCAAATATCAAAAGATAAACAAAATGATTTTTACTTTTCGCAGTTGAGATCTCTTTAAATTTTATTTTAAAATTAATCTGATGGTTAATATTAATACCCTAAATTTAACAAGAAAAATAGGGTCCTAAGGGTATGTTTGAAGTAATTTTTTTAAAAGTGTTTTTATGACTTATAACTTTTATAAGTACTTTACGTCACCCCATTATTATCACTATTACCACCGCCACCCCACCACTATAATTACCCCACCACCATTGCTGTCATCCCACCTCCACCTCTATCACAACTGCCACCATCGTCGCCCCACCACTATTGCTACTTTACTACACTCATTGCCCTACCACCACCACCACCACCATCACCATTACCACCCTTACTACCATTGCCATTATTCGACCATCACCCCCACCTCCACCCCTTATTGCTCCATCACCACCATTGCCACTCATCACCGATTATTACCATTATCGTCTATTACCACCACTCACCATTATTGTCATCTTATTTTGATATTTATTACTAGTACCATCACCATCCTAATATCATTGTTGCCCATTGTCAGGAACTACCACCACCCACTACCATAACCCACCATCACTAATCATCACCCAATATCATTGCTAGCCATTGTCACTTACCTCCATCACACCTACCACCACCACCACTTGTCATCACCCACCACCACCTACCCACAACCACCGTTGTCACCCATGTTGCCACTACCACCATTGTCACCCAAAATCCATCACCACTGTTACTTCATGGCTGCCACCACTACCACGATCGTCATCAACCCACCACAACCATCACCATCTCTCACCATCACCATTGCCGCCCACCACTACTATCACTACTCATGCTTATTACAATTGGTATTTAAAAATTTAAATTTCTTTCTCCCCTCTATATTTGCGATTGATTTTGAGTATGAATACAAATATATTTATTGTTGACAAAATTTTTTATTACTCGGTACTTTTAGGTACGGCTAATAACTAGTACACTAATACCCCAAAACACACATAANCTTTCTCCCCTCTATATTTGCGATTGATTTTGAGTATGAATACAAATATATTTATTATTGACTATATTTTTTATTACTCGGTACTTTTAGGTACGGCTAATAACTAGTACACTAATACCCCAAAACACACATAAAAACTAGTACACAAAAAATATACATTAATGTGTGTATTTTTGTATTTGATGTGTTTTGGTGTACTAGTGTATGTCTATTAAGAATTTTAATTATTTTATGGATTAATAGATTTAATTTTATCCGTTATAAATCCAATCCATTTATTTTATGAGTGAAAAATGAATTAAATTTATTTTAATCCAATCCAATTTAATCAAACTCATAATCAACCCAACCTATGCATTTCCTACCTCCAGGCCAAACTAATGCGCGAATTGAGGCCCAGCCGGCCTTTGNTTAAGAATTTTAATTATTTTATGGATTAATAGATTTAATTTTATCCGTTATAAATCTATAACCCAATCCATTTAATTTATGAGTGAAAAATGAATTAAATTTATTTTAATCCAATCCAATTTAATCAAACTCATAAGCAACCCAACCTATGCATTTCCTACCTCCAGGCCAAACTAATGCGCGAATTGAGGCCCAGCCGGCCTTTGTTGTCCAATTCGCGTTTCAACTGCTCTCAGGCCCCAACAGCCCTGGTTCCCCCTCTTTCTTCCCTCTCCTCCTCACGTTTGCCCTGGTTCTCTCTCTCTCTCTCTCTCTCTCACACACACACACACACACACACACACAAGCCCACACATAGATGGAAAGTAGTAGCAGCAGCAGCATAATCAACGGCAAGAACAGCCGGTGGAGAGCAGAGGAAGCCGTAGCTGGCAACGCCGAAGCTCTCCAAGCGCTTCGAGAACTGATCACCTATCCTCTTCTCTATTCTCGCGAGGCTCGAATGCTCGGTCTTAAGGTAACACTGTGCTGTCATGACTCATGACACACAAAAACTACTCTCTCTTTTTTCTTTCTAACTCTTAACAATGATTTGATCATAGAAATATCAGTTTCAGTTAATTTCAATCGGTTGTGTTTAAAATTTTTACGATTGATTCCTTTATTTTCTTCAGTGGCCTCGTGGTTTGCTGCTCCATGGTCCCCCTGGCACAGGAAAGGTATTGAATTCTCTCTCTCTCTCTCTCTCTCCCTCTATTCATTGATTTTCTCCTCCTCACGCAACATGCATGTATCAGATTGCTTATTGTTTTATTCGCGAAATTGATTACGATATTCTGGTTTTTTTAATCAATTGGATCTCTTGTGATTCCAGACAAGCTTGGTTCGAGCAGTTGTTCGTGAATGCGATGCACATTTAGTCGTAATTAGGTGATGCCTTTTGATGCTGTTGCTCCTTCTAGTTTCAGCAGTGAAATTTTTATTTTTTATTTTTCTGTATGAAGAGATTAATTGCCTTCTGGAGTTGTTTCATTCACACTGAAACTGCAAGACTTGTTTTATTGTACAGTCAAGGGGAAATTTGGATGTCCAACGGAAATTGATTGGCCTAATGGTATTTTATGTGAGATAATTGGTGAAAAGTACTATCTTTCATTACAAGACCATTGCATAATATGGTCTCATTATAGGGGATTTTGTTTTTTCACTTTTTTTTTAACTGTGATTATTTCTCCAATACTTCTTGCAAGGAATTATGATGACTACTACCATANAATTTGGATGTCCAACGGAAATTGATTGGCCTAATGGTATTTTATGTGAGATAATTAGTGAAAAGTACTATCTTTCATTACAAGATCATTGCATAATATGGTCTCATTGTAGGGGATTTTTTTTTTTCACTTTTTTTTTAACTGTGATTATTTCTCCAATACTTCTTGCAAGGAATTATGATGACTACTACCACATTTTTTGCAGTCACTTTTAAACATAAAAATGAAGTGAACAGTAAATGGAGCGGTTTAATTTGCTTNATTTTTTGCAGTCACTTTTAAACATAAAAATGAAGTGAACAGTAAATGGAGCGGTTTAATTTGCTTTTCCAAATCGAGTTGTGCCTTAGTTCATTACAATTTCTAATTGGTTTGCTAGATGGTGTTGACTCTGGTTTTCTGGTTTACTGTGCAGTCCCCATACGGTTCACAGAGCACATGCTGGGGAGAGTGAGAGAATTTTGAGGGAGGCTTTCGCAGAAGCATCATCTCATGCTAAATTGGGCAAGCCATCGGTTATATTTATTGATGAAATTGATTCACTTTGCCCTCGTCGTGTTTCTCGGTAAACTAACAACTGACAAAGCTTAAATTATGTGCACCTGTCTATTTATGTGTTGCTCATTTGATCTATGTTTCAAATGCAGAAGGGAGCAAGACATTCGTGTGGCATCGCAGCTCTTTATGCTGATGGACTCCAATAAACCCTTATCAACATCTATACCTCAAGTTGTGGTGGTGGCATCAACCAACAGGTTATTTCTGTTTCTAATGTTTGAAAGATCCATTTGTCTCCTGCAAATTCATTTTATACCTTGCCTTTGTTGTGTATAAATTCTAGCACCTCTTGAAAAGAACATGATAAACGACGAGTTCTACTTTTGCCCAAGCCAATGAAACATAAACATAGGATCAAGAAGGATGGGTAGGATCAGAGGTCTGTAAAAAAAAGAGGGAACAAGAGTTTCAGTCAGTTCTGTATCATCAGAAATGCCATTCTCCTATAATATCTGACTAAACAATTTTGTTAATTTGTGCATATACTGTGGGGGAGTTAAATATGTAATAAAAGGCATTTTCATTTCAAAACTGATTATTCGAGTTCAAGCTTTTACAATGCAATGAATTTAAACTGTAGGACAATGAAATATTATTTGATTTCCTAATGCGAAAAGAATACTTTTTTTGTATCGTTGAATCCCCCCCCAACCAAACAAAAAAAAAAAAAAATTAAAAGATAAAGAAGCGAAGTTATAAAACGCATTCTACAGTGGTGCTCCGTACCACCTGTCAAACCATATTGGTGAAACACTTACAAAGAGGTCTTCAAAATATTTGGATGCTAGCTGGGATATTGGTAGAAAAGAATAGAATTCAATGTTATGGAGGAAGCAATGAAATTTTGAAGTCAAAACAATGCAAGGCATCCCCCATTGCTCCTCCCTATATTGGGAGTGGANTTAAAGTCAAAACAATGCAAGGCATCCCCCATTGCTCCTCCCTATATTGGGAGTGGAGGGTAAGGAAAGAGACCAGTTCTTTTGTTTTCTTCTTGAATATTCAGTTCAAATAAATTTCGTCCTACAAAAAGAGGGTAAGGCACGTGTCTCTCTCCTTTTTCTCTTTTCTTTTTTTCTTTGGGGGTGGTGTTGGTTGTGGATGGGGGAGAGACGTGTGCTATATGGTATGGAAAAAAAACCAGTTCTTTATTTTTCCTCATATTATACTTAGTGAAATGAATGGAGACCAGCAATGACTGAACACTTGAATGTTTGAGTATGGACATTTTTATGTCCAGTTGTCATAAAGTAAGTCCATCCAGGTCCTTCTAAAGTAGCAACTCAATTTCAAATCAACATCCATACCATACTTCTCTACTAAAGTCAGTTTGGGCATGTTTTTAAGCATTGGTCTATAGCTTCAACTGAATATTTTTTGTTTTTCCTTTGAATTATTGATAATTTTATCTGTTCAGACCATTTCAATACTGGTGATTTTATTTCGTTTCAATTATATACCATGTTATTTGTTGCATCTATTGTTAATACCTGCTATTTTATGTCGAAGAGTCGATGCAATTGACCCTGCACTACGAAGGTCAGGGCGTTTTGATGCTGAGATTGAAGTTACGACTCCTACTGAAGCGGAACGCTTTCAAATTCTCGAGGTGAGATATAAACTGTGGATTTTATGCAGGAATTTTTCAGTAGTACCAACCAGAAAGAANTTGATGCTGAGATTGAAGTTACGACTCCTACTGAAGCGGAACGCTTTCAAATTCTCAAGGTGAGATATAAACTGTGGATTTTATGCAGGAATTGTTCAGTAGTACCAACCAGAAAGCATCAAGCAGTGGCCAATCACCTTTGAGTACATAAAATTATTACTGGGCTCGGTGTTTGATTATGTACGTCTGAGGAATTTTAGTTACATTGCTGTTTCATTATGACATTTTCTAGCTCTATACAAAGACAATTCCTTTGGATCCTGATGTTGACTTACAAGCCATAGCTGTATCTTGCAACGGTTATGTTGGGGCTGATTTAGAAGCTTTATGTCGTGAGGCTACCATGTCTGCAGTAAGAAAATCTGCTGACGTGAATCAAGAAGCTGGTATGTTCTGCTTAACAATGGATGACTGGAAGCAGGCCAGGACGGTTGTTGGTCCAAGCATAACAAGAGGTGTTACTGTGGAAATCCCCAAGGTTTGTTGGGAAGATATTGGGGGATTAAGAGATTTAAAGGTTTGTAACCATCATACTTATGTCTAATGCCAGAATGCTCGCTACTCTCTGACAAAGTCTCAATACGTGAAACAGAAAAAGCTCCAGCAAGCTGTTGAGTGGCCTTTAAAGCATTCCGCTGCATTTTCGAGATTGGGAATATCACCTGTCAGTGGGATCCTTCTTCATGGACCTCCAGGGTGCTCAAAAACCACCCTTGCTAAAGCTGCAGCTCATGCTGCCCAAGCTTCTTTTTTTTCCTTGAGGTTTGATCATCTTTTAGTCATTTCATTGGGATAGTCTTACATGCCCTGAATTCTTTGTGTAATTCGAAGTCCAATATACTGAATGATGATTGAATATCATAGGACACCTCAAAAAGAGCACACTCCTGCGTGCTACTTTATACTCGCATTTGGGGCTCACTATTCTATGAGTCATGAGCCATTAGAAGCTCTCAGAGCTGAAGGCTTAAGAATTGCTCCTAATGGCTAGTAATAATTATTTGGAATTTGAATTACATTATGAGGTTTAAAGGAGCTTGACCTAATTAATGAAAACTAGAACTTTGAACTTTTGGCTTGAGAAAAGCAATACATAGTAGGTCAAGGTATGCTGCTGTGGCCTCGTAGATCTAGATTCAGTGGATCCTCAAGTTCTTCCAATGAGCAATCTCAACTTTTCACTGATTCTTTTCCATGTGAACCATTATTATTTTTTGGCTGAGTGCAAATAATCTAATCCCCGTACAAGTTTGAGAACTGGTGTAGTTCCATGTTAATTTGCATTGTGTTTACTTGCCCTGTAGGACATTTCAGGAGGATTTAATTCATGATACCTTGTCAAGAAGCATATGAAAAATGCACATATAGTTGCCATTCATCACTCCACTTTCTTTCCTTTTAATCTTGTCACTTAGGTGAATGCTTTTGTTACTTTTGTTTTAGCTCAGGTTCAGTCGGGTCGTTTTCTTGTCTATTCTTCTGCTGTGCTGAGGCTAAGTATTCGTTAATCATGTGTGATTGCAATTTATTACAGTTGCATGCATTGAAATTCATAATGATACATCAGTGGTGCAGAATTATATTCAATGTATGTTGGGGAGGGTGAAGCTTTGCTGCGTAATACATTTCGAAGAGCTCGCCTTGTGGCACCAAGCATAATATTTTTTGACGAGGCTGATGTTGTTGCTGCAAAACGGTATGTATTCCATTTGAATTAGGTAAGACCAGGAGTAATGTCAATGGAAGGTGAATATCATTTAGGGAATATACAATGTTTGTATGCTGAATTCAAAAATGGACTTTAGTATTGGATTGGACTATATATTATTTAGCACTCCATTTCTTTATTGTGATAACATTCACTTTTACTTCTGCATATTTTGAATAGAACTTGTAACAGGAAAAATAATTCTTTATTCTGGAAGTATTATTTTGTTTTCACTTAATTTTTTGCCCCCCCCTTTTTTTTTTCACTTCAATCCATTTCCAAATACTGTTGCTTTGCATGTTGAAATGGACCAAGTGCTCTCATGGATCGGGCAATAGTTTTTGGTAGGTAGGTTTGTTATGGAGTTGCTCATTAGTTGCAGGATCAGGGTGGAACTTTTTAGCTGTTGGTCTTTCCTATTCAGCTGGATAAGTTGGATTTTTACCTGAAACTTTCTGCCTTTAGATTAATGTTAAGGAGTGTCTATGTGTTTTTCATGAGTGTGTCCACTGCTGTTGTATAGTCCTGGAATTACAGCAGGATTCCCTCTTTATAAACTCCAGAAATTGTACTAATGTAATTTTAAAACTGAAATGCAAGTTCTTTTTGTATTTGAAGACTTGAAAGTTTTTTTTTATTAAGTTCAAATCTTAATCCGCATAGTTGACGAAAGGATGCCAATGCATAGGTGTGAGGGTTTTTTCTTTTTTTGAGTAGTTGTTTATGTCTGGTCATTGCTTGGTTATGGTGGTTTAACTGAGATTTTTTCCTAAAGGCTACACGTGTAGTACTGATTTAATTTGCAAGTTTCCATGGGAGTTCCAAGTCATGTTTGAAGGCTTTTAATTTTCTATTTTAAACTAAAAAAGTTACTGATAATAATTTATAGCATGAGGCCAATGCATCGCTGTTGCAGTTGTCATGTTTAGTGATCATTCAATTGTTCTGGAATCGCCTATGATTTTTCATAGTCAACCACATTAACCCTTCTTGTTGTGTTATGTTTTCCTCACTCTTTCCTGAATTGCGGTACTCCATTTTCCCTTCAATGGCAGAGGAGGAAGTGCAAATGGTAGCACTACAGTTGGAGAGAGACTTCTATCCACGTTACTGACTGAAATGGATGGCTTAGAACAGGCTAAAGTAAGAACTAAATCATGTAGTTTGTTTTAGTTCCACTCCTTTCAAATCATCCGCACGAGAAAGTAGAGACAAGATTTGATCATCTTCCTTTGAAATTTGCGCATTCCTTATGTAGGGAATTCTTGTTTTGGCTGCTACGAACCGCCCGCATGCGATTGATGCTGCACTTATGCGACCTGGACGCTTTGATCTAGTAAGAATTTTTTATCATGACATGAATTAATTCATTGAGCACTTGTTCATGACTTTTATTCACCCAGTCTGTGGATATACTTTATTGCTAATACTGGAATAAGGATCATGACTTTTGTTCACCCAGTTTGTGGATATACTTTATTGCTAATACTGGAAAAGGCGAAACAATTTGGGTGTTATATTTGATTCTGATTTGCTAGTTAAAATTGGCACATGAAAGGGGCCCCCAAAGATGAGTGTCATCACCTTAATCGACCTGCAAGGTGTATGTTAACATGAGGCAAAACAATGCGTGAGGAAATGGCTTCCAAAATTGGGGGAGGGATAAAATATGTCAGTCACTGTCTTGTTGACTTGTTATATGTGATTAGAATGCATTGATATTTGATGCTGTATATTGTAGAGCTCTAAAAAGTACAAGAATTTGAAGCTAACTTTTTGGTTTGATTAATTATGGGGGTTGGCTGCCATGAGTTCCTTCCTACTATTGCTGAAGGTAAACCCATGATGGGGATCGAAAAGCAATAAGATGAAATTTGGAATTGAGGATTAGTATTTTAATGATTTATTTCAGTACTATTTTATCATTAGTATTTTTTTTATTTTTAATTTATTTCAATAAGTTTGTATTTGTTGGGTTTTATTTATTAAAGTAGGATTTATATTTTGGTTTTGGTTGTAGAGTTACATTAGGACTTAAATTTTAGGGTTAAAGGATTGGTGTAACGATATCTGAATAATTGATTATTGATTGATTGGAAATTTGATTCCTTCCCCATCTCCTTATTTCTTTTTCTTGTTCTTTTATTCTCATCTCCAATTCCTTCTTCCCAATCTGCATCACCCACATTCCAAATAACAAGATAAAAGAAAATATAAAAAACATACGAAATGAAAAATGGTAAAATAGTAGGCTGATGAATAATTTGTTGGAAACATAGATAGTGTTGCTCTGGAAACTGGTGTCATTGCGTGGCAGTCTTTGAATATTATATGGGGGATTTGAACTTTTTTTGATCAGCTTCTTTTCACTTTTTTTTTTCTCCAAAACCCCTCCCTCCTCCCCTCTGCCAGAGGAATCNTTGCTCTGGAAACTGGTGTCATTGCGTGGCAGTCTTTGAATATTATATGGGGGATTAGAACTTTTTTTGATCAGCTTCTTTTCACTTTTTTTTTTCTCCAAAACCCCTCCCTCCTCCCCTCTGCCAGAGGAACCTTCAACTTCTTCATTCTTGTGATTAGTGAACAGTAACAAAATATCGACATTTAGGATGTTGTCAGGGTCCTGTTAACTTTGTCTGTTGTAATGACAAATGCAGGTGCTTTATGTGCCACCGCCAGATTTGGAAGCTCGATATGAGATACTTTGTGTACACACACGGGACATGAAAGTGAGTACTGACGTTGATCTTAGACAAATAGCAGAAAATACTGAGCTCTTCACAGGGGCTGAGTTGGAGGGTCTATGCAGGGAAGCTGGAATTGTAGCTCTGAGAGAAGACATTTCTGCCACTGTCGTGTGTAATCGCCACTTCCAGACTGTTAGGAATTCATTGAAGCCAGCACTAACCATAGAAGAAATTGATTCGTACTCTTCATTTATGAAGAATCCATCTGTGTGTTCTTCTGGACCAGTTGAAATGTCTACCAAGCAGAACAAGAAGTGTTCTAAGGGTTTGGTGGGTTCCATTACTCCTGTTGCAATTGGTGTCACGAGCTTTATTTTACTAGCTGGTGTGAAATATTTTCTAATGCGAACTGGTCGAACACCTAGTGAACTAGCATGTACATGAATCCTCTAACGTGTTCCCAGCACGACCGGTGATGCAATATAGCAGTAACATACGCATATAGCAGTAATTTACGCTCGCCACAGTCTGGATGAAGAAGTTTCTGTGACAGCAGCTTTACATGTCTAATCTATTTGTTCTCGATAATTTATGAACTGGTGATCTAATCTGTTTGTTCTTGATAATTTATGAACCGGTGATCTTTGCTTGGAAGCTTTCTGTCCGCCCGTGCAAGTGAAAAAAATCTGAAAAGTAGAGCTCCCGGTGCATTGCACAGCAATTTGGTGGTTCTTTGTTAGCTCAATATGCAGGTGCTGGTTTTGGGATCGGGAGTGGGAGCATCGTGGAAAGAAGGTTGCCACAATATCAAGGACCATCTGTGCTTGGCATTTGTGTGTGGTTCTGGGAAGAGACTCCAGAGGGCTGAATCTTTTTGCTGACAGGTATTCTCTCGGCCCGTGGGGGGGTGGTTAACAGGAGGGTGCAACTGCTTTGTGTGCGGGTTTCATAGTAAAAAGACTGTAAAGATCACATAATTGCATAGACTTATGTTGTGACTAGAAGAACCATATGAGATGGAAATTTGAACCCCCCCCCCCCTTTATTTCCTCTTTTCTTTGCTTTAAAATGATGTTAGGATATTCATTTTCCTTGGTTTTTGTAGTTTCTTCTAATAGAAGAGTACATGCATTTACTTTTTTTTTTTTTGAGAGAGAAAACAAGAAATTTATGGAGAAAAGCTGAAATGTTATGAAACATGAACACGAAGAAACAATAATACCATCAAATCAACTAACGAAGTGAGGTTACTGGTTAGTGGTTAGTTTAATGGTCATTGTCTCATCATAGGTTTGAACGTTCGTCGTTTTCTCTTCCCTATAATAGTGCCTAGCCAAAAAAAAAAACTAACCACGCATGACAATAAAAATGTGCACAAACATTATTATAGGAAAAATTTTGTCCTTTAAGAACGTTTATAGCTCAAGTTTAATTTTTTTCTACATCTGTAATGTCCATCTCTCCTTATTTTTTAAGGGTATGTTTTAATTCAGTTTAAGTTACAGTGGTAGTTGCTAAACTCGAGGAGTAGTAGATGTAAACATGAACATCAAAAAAAGAAAAAAATGAAGAGAAGAAAGAAGGGGGAAAAGGGAGAGAAGAAGGAGGGGGGGGGGGG